CAAACTCTTCTTGCTTGAGTTTAGTTTAAGTCATTTGCTCATTTGATTATAATCATATTAAGCTCCTTTTATTTGTTCATTTAAGTCCAAAGCATGTCTTCACTTGTTCAAAATTTGTTCAAGTCCTTGTCTTATTTCAAACAAAATTTCGGCAGCCTCCCGACATCTCCCCTGTTTAGGGGAAAAACCAAGAGGCCGCCTACCCGCCACGTCAATAAAGGCGTGCACGGTTGGTGTTTGTGAGACACCACGGCGGTAATTTTTTTTGTTTGTCATCCACCATGCCAATAAAGGCGTGCATGGGTTATTAAAAGCATTTTTTTTTTTTGGAAAAAGTTTTTTTTATTACCCCGTCGTGCTAAGAAAAGCACGCACAGGGATCGCCTACTTCATTGTAAGCACCGCACCAAGTTCCCTCCCACCACACTAAGAAAAGTGTGCATGGGTGATCCCTTGGTGCGTCACGAACACCGAAAAAGGACATAAAGGGGATTACCCGCCTCGCCACAAGTACCGCGACGAGCTCCCTCCCGTCGTGCTAACAAAAGCGTGCATGGGTGGTTACTCGCCACACCATAAGTGCCGAGGGTGGGCTCTCGGAGTTTTAGTGTTTAGAAGGGTTATACCTTGGCGGGGTCGGCACGTAAATCGAGGCAAGAGAAAGAGGTTTCTTTTGTATTTCTCTTGTTGGCGATCGATTACAATTAAAAGCAACTAATTATAATTAATGGAAATTAATTATAATTAATAAAATTTAATTTAACTAATTATAGTTAACAAAAATTAACTATAATTAACTAGGTCAATTATAATTAATAATAAAAGATGGATTAATGCTAGATCAGGGCAGGATTTATGCTAATTCCTGCCAAACAGGTTTTGATCATCCCATAAATCTCACGGCCGAATAAACCCCTTTTTTGTTTTTTTTTCTTCATAGTAAATCCCGGATTTGGGATTTATGGAACTTGGCCGAAGCAGCACATGCAAGGGAGAAAGGTACCTTCAAAGCAAGTGAGCTCCTGTTTGTTCTTCCGATCAAAATAGGAAGGGAAATTTGGTCGAAGAGACGAAGCCGACCGACAATGGAGGTTAGTGCGTCGAACTCTCCCCCCTCTCTCTCTCTCTCTCTCTCTCTCTCTCTCTACTTGTACGAGTCGGCCGAGAGGTCGGAGATGGAAAAGGGGTTCGGGACAGAGAGCAGTCGGCGGCTTTGAGGGTGTTTGGAGATCGGGATGAGAGGAGAGTTGCAACAGAGGACTTCGGTCGGAGGAAGAAGTGGAGTGCCAAAGGAATGGGAAGCAGCGACGGGCTCGTCTGGTTTGCGTGGGGTTTGCAAATGGAAGAAGACCGGGAGTGGGAGGAGTCTTTCTCTCTTCATTTTATAGACGCAAAGGAGTATGAGACAAAGCGGAGGCCACGCGATTTGAGCAGGATTTACGCATAATTTTCAGGATACGATGCATACGGCACCGAACAGCTGGATTTGTGGAGGATTTCGTGGATCCGACGGTTTACAAGTATTTTTTTTTTTGTTCCTTTGGTCAGAAGATGGAGGTCAAGATAAGCCTATGAAGGATATTCATTCGTTGATCTTTGTGTTTCAAACAAATGAAAGAGAGAGCTTAGAATTTGGCTCTAAGCTCTAAAATCTTCATATAATGATGTGTTGGAACTTTGAAGAATTCCAAATCATTATATATGAGAGGATAGACATGTTCATTTGTTGATTTTATGTTATTAGCAAATGAAAGGAGATTTAGGATTTGTTCCTAAAGCCTTAATGATTAATGTAATGAAACATTTGGAGCTTGGAGAGGCTCCAAAATATCACACATGGAGGTGTATATGTTTGTTGATTTTTTTTGTTTCAACAAAAGGACAGTGACTTAGGATTTAGTCATAAAGTTTTGATGTTTCATGTAATGCAATATTTAGAGCCCTGAGGAGGCTCCAAATTATTACACATGAAGGAAAAAGAGTGCTTGAAAGCAAACTCTTTATATTTGTTAGCACTCATGCAACATAAAACTTGGAGCTTCAAGGAAGCTCAAAGTATCAAATTTGAAGGAGGATATGCATGAGAAAGAGAATTCCCTATTTATCCATGAATGTTTTGGACTCATGGAAAGAGAAAATGCACACTTGAAAGGAATTTTCCTACGTCTTTTAGAGTGTTTTGGACTCAATTTGGGGAGGGAAGAATTGATTTTCTAAGGCTTTGGAAGGGTTTCTAAACCAATTTTGGCATGATTTAGAAAATTTGGATATGAGAGATCTCTCCCTATGACTTCTAGGATATTTAAGATCAAATTTGCTATGATCTAAGAAAAACTTAGGAGTGCATGCATGTGATCGTCTTCCAAATTTAGGAATTTTGATAATTGAGAGCAATCAAGTGTTTGTTTTGTAAAATGTCGTACATAAACTTAATCAACAATATATTTTGTGGGATCTACAACATAGACTTTGAAAAGTCTATGAGAGACCTCACAATGATTTGATATTTCCAATAGTTTATTAAATTAATATTTAAGCACTCACAAAATCTCACTAGAGTTTGCAAACTTCAACATATGCACACTTCTTGCAACTCGTAAGTCACTTTTTCCATGACTCGTACTTGAAAGAATGGTGCATGCAATTTAGGTGAGTTTCAAGATTGCTACTCAACACTCCAAGTTTTGTATGGTACAAGATATAAACTTAATTGATTCTTTATGTTGTGAGATTTGTTACATAGACCCTTGAAAGTCTGTCTCACAATGACTAGAAAGCCCAAATAAATTAAATTCAATACATGCATTAAACAAAACTCTAAAGATTATCAATTTCAATGCAAGCAAACTCTCCTAAATTTGGGTGCCAATTTTTTCATGACAATGCATTTAAATGAGAAGTGCATGCAACTAATGACAATCCAAAACCTATGCAAAATCATTGATTTTGAGACCAAATGATAGTGTCTACCCTAGGGCATGATTGTAGGTGATGGATTGGACATAGCTTAAGTGCATGAACATGCATTGGGAGGTTGCCGAACACCAATCCGACAACCCTAAAGGAGTCGGCGTGTCCCAATGACTCTCACAAGAGAGTAAACAAGTGAAAGTCACCAAACATTCACTGTTTTGCGAGGAGGACAGCGAGCATGGGATTTCGGGGAAGCAAAAATAAGTTTCTAAAGGGCCTAGGGCTTGGGGACATCAACCACACATCAAAGGCTTTGAGTAGCTAAAACAATTACCTCACCCGGGCTGTCCAAGCTCCAAGTTGCTATCTAAGCTTCTATCCAAGCTCCAAACTGTTGTTTGGAAGCTTCAAAAAGCCTCCAAGCTGTCCATGATGTTTGAAGGCTCATGGATGTTGCGTAGCTGCTGTCCAAGATGTTCCAAACGTCGCTGCTGCTGTCCAGACTGCTCTGGATGGCGAGTTTTCTATCCAAAGTGCTCCGGAGGGTGAATCTTAAGTTTGTTATCAAGATGTCCCCAAGTGTTGTCTTTGCTGTTTGGAGTTCACCGGAGAGGAGATTTTGGTGTCCAGAGTGCTCCAAATTGCTGATTTGTTCCCACAAGCTCACCGGAGCAGAAGGAAGGGGTGGAAGAAGCTCCTCCACATGGCTAGTTCACTCAACCTAGTTTTGGATGCCAAGGGCTGCTCGTCTTCTTCAATCGAGCCAACGAGCATGGGAGGTGGAAACAGGACCACTCTTGTTCGGCTCTTTGGAGTCGGCTAGGTGGAAGGAGCCAAAAGCTTGGCCCGCTCGGATCTCCTATACTCCGGCAGAGGGTTGGCCGGGCCTCTTCTCCCCTTCGGCTGGATGCGTCCAAGCAAGAAAGCCGTTCGGCTCTCTCTCTTCTCCCCTCTCTTCCGCTTTGTCTGAGACAGACGAACAAAACGCCAATGGCTCTCCCTCTCCCTTGCATTCTCTTGGAGAGCACGAGCAACAGCCCACCGCCCAAAATGCCCAATCAGGCATCTTCACGCGTGAAACGAGGGATTTCACATGAAATTGAGTGGGATTTCATGTGAAATCTCGGTCGTTGATCAAGAAATTTGATTTGGGAAGTCAAATTAGCCATGATTTTATCAATTAGGGATGAAATTGAGCCATAATCGGACTCTACTCAAACTGATTTGGGTCGGTTTGGGTCCGATCAAGTTAATTTGTGAAATTAGATTTGAATCGGCGCCGAATTGCGTCGAATTTGGTTCAACGAGGCTCGATTGGATTCAATTCGATCCGGTTTTGGGTTGATTCAATCGATTTGGTTTTAATTTGATGAAATTGAATTTAACTTGATTAAATTAAAACTCGATTCGGGTCAATTTTAATTCGACGAATTTCGATCGAGTTGATCGAGAGCGACCGAGCCTAATTGGGTTCGAATTGATCCGGGCTGAATCTGGCTCGTTGTGAAAATAAACGTCAACATCTACAAACCAATCTACTTTCCCAAAATTTATCCCGGAACTTTATCCATTAAAACTCCAGAAGAAAAGTCTTGCGGGGGAGGCCAGGGCGGAATTTTCGGAGCCCACAAAGGCCCAGGAGAGCTAGCTTGTTTTCACCTGCATAAGTTACAAAAAACAATATGCTTGGAAAATCCATTCAATTAAGAAATGAATAACAGAAATATTTCAAATAAGAAATGACTTGGAAAATCCATTCAATTACAATGTAATAATTAAGTCGACCCCAAAAGAGATGCATAGAGTTTTTGTGTACTGTCCCTTGCATGCATTAGTTTCGACTAGGAATTTATTACATATGCTTACATTGAAGTACTACCATGCACTCTTACCACAGAAGCAGGCATTAATTTTACAAATGCCGTAGGATTGCAAATGTATCCAACTAAAAGCAGTAATACAGCCCTTGGAGCATTGTACTTCATAGTAGATTAGGTTAAATAAATGTCATGCTTTACGCATCACTGCAGTAACCATAATCACATAAATAATTAGAAAAACTATAATACATAAAATTTAAAACATACCCCCAAGCAAGAAGAAGTATTTTCTCATAGAAAACAGTTGATAGCTCTGAGTGTGCCAAGCTGCAAAAAACAATATGCTCAACACGACAGGAAAATAAATTAAAAGTACTGGAAAATAGAATAAACGATGCAGGATAAAAATGACATACCTTAAAGCCCAAAGTCTAAGATAAGATGCAGTATTTGAGACTGCTCCCAGGACAAATTCAATGGAATGTATCATCTGATGCACAAATACCTCGCTGAAGTTGAAATCGTTGTAATGTTCTTGTGCAGAGTCAAGTTCAACATCAAGCTCAGCATCAGAGGTCCGAAGGATGCCATAGGTGCGACCTTGGAATCTCTATGTAAGCATTTGATGAGGAATATGAGAAGTTGCATGGTTAACAAAGACAAAGCCACTTGTAAAATTAATTTAGTTTAACTGAGCATAAATAAAGCTAAAAAATAATTCAAATATATATAAAATAAGCCACAAAAACAGGGAAGTCAACAATGTTACGCATCACTTGATTGCAAATACACTGTTTCAGGTAAGATATAAAATATTGTGAGGAAATTAAATGCCATCATCTTTTGGGGTTTGCTTTACTAATTCTCATCCATTCATTTCCAGTGAGTGTAAGTCTAACTTGATCAAAATATTTGCTCCTTCCAGCCATATCTACCTTCATTCCACCATTTCCTTGCCCATTCATTTCCCTTTTACCTTTTCTTTTTGTTCATTTTTTTATGAAAGAGTGAGCTTCTTTCCTACTCTTCACGCCTTAATTCCCTCTACTTATCTTATTGGAGCATCTTCGAACCTCCATTATATATTCCCAAACCATCTAAAAATCAAAATCATTTTCAACTTATTTAGTTTATTTCTTGAAATTATTACTCATTTATAAATCATGGATACCAACACATGACAAAAACATGGCATCGGTCCATGGGCACGAACATAAAGATACAACATAAGTATAAAAAAGTAGGACATACCGCATTATATAAATAATATTTAATTTCAAATTATATAAGGTTTGCAATTAAAACAACTGATGAGAATATTTTCTATAAAACAATATCACATAATATAGTAGAATATCATATGTATCACATAAAAAATATAAATATGAGAAATTTTATTAGTTTAATTACAATTATATTAATATAATATAAATATTATCAACAATAGAACATTAGCATTAATCATTAAGTATGATTTTATACTATATTTTCCACATAAAATGCAAAGAGAAGGTATAAGAAAATAAATAAACCAATGTATCACAAATTGACCCAACATACTCATCATTGCGATCATCATCAATGCTACAACACGAATACAAAGCTTGAGAGGCATTGCGGGGATAAAACTATATTGCTTTGGAAAAGTAAGATGAAGTTCATCGATGATTTGTCAAAAGCATACTTAAGTAAGTTTTGAAAATAAATTTAATCTATTTTATTATAGAGAAAATTCAAAGAACAAATGAAAAAGATGGCTCTTAGCAAGAATACTTGTTAACCTAAAAAGGCGTCTAGTATTATGAATTATGGAGGATAACTGGCATAGGAAAACTTCAAGTTGGCTCCATGATCCTCACAAAATCTCATCAGCTTCTTGTTGTTTAGCATTGATTTATTGTCTTGCATTGATATTTGTAGTGTTGGCCACTATGAGTTGTCATTATGGAAATATGAGTTCTAAATTTTTTGGTGTAGAATTTGTACAGTGCTTCCTTTTTCGGAAAAATCATATTGACTTGTCACGAGTTTGAAAAAGTGTTTGACTACAAATTTGTAGAGGTTATCAAAAACCAATATAATTTTATTACTTAAAAATAAGATTTGGATGTAAAGTAGAAAATATATGACCAAAATATCGAGAATAAAGAATGCAGGAAGTATATGAAATTGCAAAATGAATGCAATTTTGTTAGAATGAGTTTCCGATTATATTAAACAATTTTGGATTAATTTCACATGTATTTAAAGATCACACCCAGAAAGTTTCAAGCAAAGTTAAGTTTTATTACTATTTTTTTTTTAAATTAAAATAGAAAAATGACAAAATGCAATACTAAAACTCATCACATAAGTATTTCACAATGATAACAATTTCTCTAGCTGCAAAAATGATGTAAAACGAATGCAAAACTATGTCGCGATGCAAAAATAAATTAAAATACCACTGTAGATGAAAAATGAAGTTCATAGATGATTCATTAAAAGCACAATCAATAAGTTACGAAAAGTATTTAATCCAGTCAATTACTGGTGCGAATCCAAAGAACTAATAAAATCAAAGATGGACATTTAGAAAGAATAGTTGTTAACCTAACAAGATGGCTATCCTTATGATTATAAAAAGATAATAATAAAATAAAAAATGATAATAACCATTAGGGAGCTAACAATTATTTGGGTGGAGCGCAGCATAACTTGAAGAAGACCGACCTCCAAGCATAGTCTTTCATCATGTAGATCTTCTACCTTCCTCAAAATTCCTTCAATGGTGATGCATTCTTACACGTTAGTGATCATTTACTTGAGAATGAGAAGAACACTAAGTATGCCTAAATGAACTGCACTCAAAGAAGATAGATCCCATTCATAATATCATACCATTACAAAGCATGAAACAAGACCACTATTTATAGAAGTAACGTGAGGGTGGGAAGATGGCCAAGCATGGGAAAAGCATGTGTAGAGTCATTGCTTTATAGATTTCAAAGGGCTTTTAAGGGTTGAAGGTTTATAAATAGTTCCAAGTAAAAAACACTTGAGGGGTGATTTTAAGGCTTATAAATGAGATTGGAGTATTGATTAGGAGAGAGGGAAGGAGAGTGACCCTGCCCAATAGGAGATAATGGGGGTGTTGTCAAGGTGATGTACTGGTCAATGAAGATGTGAAGATCAAGTCTAGTAGTAAGCAAAATGTTTGATCAAATCTGAAGGAAAGACTAGATCAAGGTGACTTAGATTCAATCATCACAATATAGATAACTTAAATCACTTATTTGAGGTCCACACATGACTTGACATATAACACAACTAAAGACCAAACATTAACCCAACAAACAAGGTCAATACAAAAGATTCGTAACACACAACAGTCAAAATACATTGATATAATAAAGAAAGAATATCAAATGGATCCTAGATACATAATAATCTAAATTCAATGGTGACAATGAAGACGTTTGAGGTGACGATATGCATCAATACCAATATACTCTTCAATAGACATTCACCATTATTGATAAAATATAAAGTTTGTGAAGCTAGATCATATAAAAAATAAAATACTATCATCACTTGGATAGGCTATGTTGGGCAATGTCCTAGCTATGTCAGGGAATGTCCTGATAGTAGACAAATTCTAATTCTATAAAAAAAGTATCATTTATGATTTGCAACATGTTAGGCATGAGTTAGGGCATATCAAATGCGTGTCCATGCCTGACACATACATATATTGCTTTTAAAAGTGTTTATGCTTCATAGTCATTGACGCTATTTTCTTAATTTTATCACATTTATCTTAACATTTTTATTTCTACCACACTCAACTTGATTCCAAACAAAATAGGCCATCCAATTCAACTTTACTGAATTTATCTTTTTTTTTTTTTTTTTTTTTTTGTACAATGACAGTTTTTCAAAGAATCAACTCATCCTTCTTCTTGCTACCTTAAGTGAATGCTTTACCTCTTAAATCCCTTATCTAAATTAATAGGCCACTAAATATAAGAGAGATGAGAGTGACATAATCATAAGTGGAAGTGTAGACTGAAGCTTGGTAGTGTGGGTGAATGCCCAGGTGGGCGCCCCATGAAGGTAGGATCTTGAGCAAGAGGGTTTCCTTTAAGGGTATATGTTAATATTAAAATTTCAATGTTTTTTCTAAATTATTTAAAGGTATGACTGTAGGTTTGGTTTCTCCTTCTCAATTTAGAACAAGATAAACCTAATATATTCAGTTCTTATTAAATACTTAAGCTTTAATAATCCTGGTTTGGTGATTAACTCTTACATATTTTCTCAAATGATTTTTTTAATAATAATCTCCGAGGAATATTTACAATTATAAGAGAATATATGTTGAGATTTATTTAGTATAAACTATACAAAATTGTTAAGAGTAATAAATAAATTAGTATAATCATTATATAATTAAAAAAAGAGCAGCCTTTATAAGAATTGAATCTTAAAAGAGAATTAATGATTTCATGAAGCCATGGCCAGTGACAATTAATATAATAAATATTAAATAAATCATTGATATTTGGGAATAATTAAAACGAATAAGTTGAGAAAATTTGTAAAATCTTTGATTTTAAAAATATGTTTAAATTGACTGTTAAAAGTTTGTTATACAATATATTTAATATAGATAAAATGCCAAAATTGTCTCTTGACTCTTTATGAAGGATTAAAATAGGTCTTATACTATATTAAAGGACTATTTTGGTTACTCAGGTCTTTAAAAAGAAATCAAAATACCTATGATGAGATATTTTGGTTAATTTTTAAGGAGTTGAGAGATCAAAATGATCCTTGAATATAGTTAGAGATTATTTTGATTTTTCATAAAGAGTCAAGGGACCATTTTTGTCCTTTTCTCATTGAATATATGAATGATCTAGATTCCTTTGACTCAAGAGTTTACAGAGCACCTTTTCTTAGACAGAGAAAGATGAACTCATGATCGAAATATTGGGCCACAGGTTGTCTCTCATTTGTAGGTAACTCTTTATTAGTTGAAGGATAAACATACACTTTCTCATTCATGATGTTATCCTTGACATTTGTGGTAAGCTTTATTTGTTGATAATATATTGCAGAATATATTTTATTCATAACATTTTATGTAGTTATATTGATATGATGTGATAGTTAGATTTGCCATGCTAAATGCTTAGGAAGTTCATATACATTATTTTAGTTGCTAAGAAATAACCATTGAATCATGAATTTTTCTGATGTATAATAGATTTTAATCATAATGGTTATAAAGTTTTTATATGGAACCTTTAATATATTATAAAGCTTATATAATGTAGACTTGTTTGCAAGATGCATGTATTATTAATAGAACTCTTTTGGATAGGATAGTCGAGCCAAAGTGTTATAGGAGTGATAACCCCTTTGAGAATCATTAGATTTTTATGGGTTAATGAAAACTTTCTTGAATAAGGGTATTTCAACATACTAACATTAGATAAATATAAATATAAAAGTATTAAAATAATGATGTCCCCCAAAAATGCTTTAATTAATTCGTTGGGCTGCTTAAGGAGACCAACCCGATATATAATATAATTCTTACAAATTTATACCAGTCTAAGAAAT